AACTAATACACCGTCATTGAAAATAATTCGTGATATAACTGTATTTATACCATTGAAAATTCGTCGTTAATATCTTTTGAGTAGATTTTCTTGGTGGACTTTTTTAATCGTTAGTGCTGCTCTTAATTAAAATGTATGGTTGCTCATCTTTTAAAGCTCAGTCTTGTGGTTTATAATAATTATTAATGCTTAGAAGTTATTTCTTTTATTAAATTAATAAACTGTGATTAAATTATTTACAGAGTTCTACGAGTTTTTTAGCTCTCTGAGAAGATTAGTTTTTGCGTAGTTACCGTAATAACCGGATCATTTTTTTTTGTCTAAAACCTACTTTTATTAAATTAAAATACTGCTTAATGAGCCAAGGGCGCAAGACATACCAATGTGATCGAATAATTTATTAACATTTTCAACGCCCCCCTTCCCGTCATTTTCCATAACTTGACACTTGCCTTATAACAGCCTGGCATAGTCTAGCCATTAGCTTTCGCGGCTGTATATCATAAAGTCCAAGGTTTGTAACGCGATACCGCTTAACACGCTCCACATTTTCATAAGCGTACGTTATAAGTGTAACAGTCAATTCTGTTATTGGGTACGAAGCCATTGTGGACACTGGTGCTGCTGAGTGACTGCCATCCTTCCGGCCTTTGCACCTCTAGGAATGACGTAGATAACTTCTGTTGTTTTTTTTTGGAAGTTGTATGATTATCATTGTACTTTTCTCGACGCTATTTCACAAACTCTTCAATCTGTTATTGTACAGAATCTCTTTTAGTTATGTTGTATCAATCAAGAGATGGAATTTCGAGTTGAGTTTGGAGAATTTTGTTCTGCTAAATTATGTCTCACCTCCCCCCCCTAAAAAAAAACAACAACAAAAAACTGATGATAAATTAAGCATTTCGTATGATTAAGAATTTTAAGCCCCCCAGTGGCACAGCGGTATGTCTGCGGACTTACAACGCTAGAAACCGGGTTTCGATACCCGTGGTGGGCAGAGCATAGATAGCCCTTTGTGTAGCTTTGTGCTTAACTAAAAACAATAAGAACTTTAAAGATATCAGTTCTGGAGATAAGATCATATCAGTGAGGTATTTTAGCAGGTAACTGTGTCGGATAATCTGGTGAAAACGTACAACTACATTGTGAATAAGGCTTAATGTGTATTTTTTTTTAAGCTTTTAACAATGAAACTAAGGTTGCATCGATGTAAAATTAGAATGTCTCTTAAATTAACAAAAATGAAAGAAACAGTTGCAGGAGATGCTCCATGTTATAACTATTTCATATCTTTGGAAGCGTTGCGAAATTGAACATCAGAACTCATTTTTAATACTGTTATTTGTCGTTGTCCTTTTTGTACAATCCCTCTGTCGGAGAATTGTAAGTTTACGGACTTACAATGCTAAACTCCGGGGTTCGATTCCCTGCCGTGAACACAGCAGATAGCCCAATGTGGCTTTGCTCTTAAAATAAATCTTGATGAGCAGGTAAATCATTTAAAGTGTATGGCTATTATTTATATATTTTGATTATTTCTTTTCTGATATTTGGTCTGGAAAAATAGGATCTCCAAACCAGCTAGCTTTGTGGAACCTATGATTCCTTAAACCTAGGAACACAGGATCTTGATTTCAGGGGTTCTTACGTTTGTATTGGTGTAGGTATTTCCAAAATAAGAAAACAACCACTTGTACAGAGGCTAAACAATTAGACCAGAGACTCCTAAGGCTACCTGGACATAACTGTCCTTAATTTAGAAAAGGTAGCCAAGTGGCAGGCAACGAGTCAGCAGCACTCATTGCACATGCGCTGAAGCTTGAGCATGGACCTTAAACCTAGACTTTTTTTAACTCAGTGCTATACCTGCAGTTAAGTTACAATCTTTCTAGGTCGTAGTTATCCATTTTTTTTTACTTAAAGATATTTGTTAAAATCAAGAGATATTAAAGAAACAAATAAGACGCCTGGACCTTTTTTTTTCACATAAAGACATTTGTTAAAGTCAAGAGCTATTCAAGAAACAATAGACGCCTGGACTTTTTTCCACTTAAAGACATTTGTTAAAGTCAAGAGATATTCAAGAAACAACAGACGTCTGGACTTTTTTCCACTTAAAGAAATTTGTTAAAGTCGAGAGATATTCAAAAAACAACAGACGTCTGGACTTTTTTTTTCACTTAAAGACATTTGTTAAAGTCAAGAGATATTCAAGAAACAACAGACGCCTGGACTTTTTTCACTTAAAGACATTTGTTAAAGTCAAGAGATATTCAAGAAACAACAGACGCCTGGACTTTTTTTCACTTAAAGACATTTGTTAAAGTCAAGAGATATTCAAGAAACAATAGAGATTAAACAATAGAGATTAAAAATGGGAAAATTGACGATTACGTTACTTTAACAAAAAACAAAAGAGAGAGATATGGATATCAAGATCAATGAAAATTCATAATAATATCACCGACTTGCGAGGTTACAAAAATACAATCACTGATTGAACAGACTAATTACAAGTTCATCTTGTATATTTAACATTCACATCAAGTACAACACAAGAATACTAACCAAAAATGTTCTAGTCACTTCAGGATCTGTAAGAGTCTTCACTCCACAGCCATACCTTGTAAAACTGAGATACAACATCAATATATCTGGCAATACCCAACATGACTGCAAACAACTTTTCATCTTTCAAGTCACGAGGATTTAGAGACCTCTTCCACCATTCACAATCATTATTATAAAGTCCATCATCTTTCGTGAATAATCAATGGTTAAAAACTAAGCCTTAATTTTGGTCACAATGAGAGGACACAATTAGATTAGTCTTAGCAAATTTTTCTCACTCCAGTGACTTCGCGGTGTACCTGAGGGCTCACACCGACAAAAACTTCATGCATAGTTAAACAGAAAATCATATATTAAAACTGAATTTTATGACCCAGCATGTACAATGAGAGCTCTCATCCTATGGGATATATTCGACCTTTACGTCACGCGTGTGATAGTGATTAATGTTTTCTTTTAGGAGCTTTCATTCAGTATAAGGCATTTTGGGTAAAGTTGGACTGTTATATTTGTTGAAACTGAAGAAATCATAATGTCAAATAGTATACATTTTAACTACTACGTTAAAACTTTATAAACTAGAGTAAGTTGTTTTCGTTTCATTTTTCTCTGTTCCATGCTATTGATTGTTTGTGTGTAGTTATTTTCAGTACCGAAAGACGATAATTAGCACCGCACTAAACTTTAAATCTGTGATGATCTAATGAAGACAAACTCAACTCAACTCATTCGCGACTCTTTAAGTGTAATTATAATTTTTGTTGTTAATATGGAAATCAAACGTTACACACACACACACATATATATATATATATATATATATTTATATGATATTTCTGTGGAACAATGATCAATAATAGATACTTTGGAACTTATCCCTCTTCCCACTCTTTTTTTTTACATCAGCTCTCAAATTTTTATTTCCTGTAGATCTACGACTTGGCTTGTTACAATGAGCTCAACGAGAGATAATTTCGCATTTACTTTACTTATTTTTGTGTGATTTCGGTGGATAATCTTTTGGTTTTCGAAGTACAGTATAAGACTAATAAGTTATTTGTAACTTTTTTCCATTTTATCCATTACTTGAGTAGTTTCAGCTCTTTACAAATGATACTGTTGTGCTCTATACATTTTAAAGTAGTTTAACGGTGTTTAATGATCCTTAACAGGAGCTGTTGGTCCGAAACCTAAGTTGGGCGTTTTTCTTTTTAGTTTATTTCAATTGCTTCTTTCTGCTTTCGTGTTTTTGTTTTGCTGTCTTGTTATTTGTTTGATGAGGGTGTTCGCAATTACAGCTTCAGTAGTAAATTAATATATGTGTATATTACTAGTTCTAGCAATAAATCTGTCAAACATTCGTCTGATTTAAAATGTGTACGCTACAAGAATTTAATTGAAACAAAATATCTTATCTGTTAAGTCTACGTGATGCTTTTTTAATGCACACATTGTTTGAACTAAATAATTTATTCACTTGCAGTCGATGTACTGGAAATAGAGGGCTAATTCATTTCATTAAGGAAACATAAATCTGATAAAAATTACATATTAATAAAACAAAATAGTTAAACGTTATTTTTGTAGTAGTAGTAGTATATATATATGTATGTATGTATATACACACACAATTTGTTAATCACTAAGCTACACAATGGGCATAAATACCTAGATTTTAGTGTTATAAGCTTTCGGACTTGCCGCTGAGCCACTAGGAGAGGGCAAGAACTCTTTTTTAATGATGAACTCTAAATAACTATTCAAAAAAGGTATAATTGTTGAGTTATATGTATTACTAAAATTCATTCGTCTTTTGTTCATTAAGTGAAACAAAAGAAAAATAAAGTACTTAAAAATTACATGGTAATGTTTCGAATCCTACTGTTCGATCGATTAGAGCAGCCTAAGAGTCGACGGAGTGTCCTATCGACAAGCTGCCTTTCCTTTCGTCTACCAGTTGGAAATTATGGACGGCTAACGCAGATCGACATATTCAGATTTACATGTTAAAATACATCTTATTTATCAATTAATTATCGTAAGTTTTAAAATATATTTACTCTTTATTCAAAAATTTTCTTTAAATAATATCCTAGCATAATTAATACGATTAAAAACATTTTTCTTTGTTTTTCTCAGTGCACCACTACTCAGTCTTTTTTTTTTTCTTCTCTCTCTCTCTCTTTTAGACGAAATACGTAGACACCAATCAGTGTTCTCTCCTTGCATGACGTAAACAGGATTGTGGTTCCAACAACGCCATCAAGGATTTAATAGTAGCAATGTAAATAGATCACAGAAATTGATTAAAGAGAATGAACTCATGATTACTGTTTATATAAATTAATATGAGATATGGTTTTATATCTTCTGGGAATTTAAATTCAAACAAATTTATTACACAGGAAATGTCACAAAGAGCAACGGTGTCGAATATTACCAACGGCTCGGATAGCGCGGCAGCAATAACGTTCGAAGAAAGTATCGCTCGGGAATATAGTTTAGCGGCAGCTTTTCACGATCATATATCTTGTACAAAAACATCCGAGATTTGCAGCTTTGTGGACCCACGAAATGAAAGGATGACACTTCCATGTGAAATTGATCACATTTATGCTAACTGTAGTGACATTAAAGGTCAAATTACACCTCGAGAAGATGAACCAGCTCAACGTTTGAAGGAAATGCTTCTGTTTCAGCTTGATCTGATCCAGCATCAGCAAGAACAACTTTTCAAGAAAGATCAACAAATGTCGGCCATTAAACAAGAAAACGAATCTGTAAGCAAGAGACACGTTGCTAGCAGCTAAATTGAAACATAACTAGTCTGCCAGGAGAAATTTGTCACAAATTTAAAATTTAAATTTAAAAAAATGGCGTATTCCGTCAGCTTGTTTAAGACAATGACGTTATATTGACGTTTCCGTTTCTATGTAACGTAAGGTAGTGTTGCATTATTTATATACAAGAAAGATGGTTGGTAAGGGGTGTTTACTAAGCCTAAATAGGCTTAACAATAAAAGATCATTTTGGATTTTAGCTAATGATTTATAATTTATGTGTACGCTAAGCTTAGTTGCAAAGTTATTTTAAAATACTTATATGTTTTTTAAAGGTAAAGCTTGAATGCATAATAATTTTCGAAACGTAAGATAAAGGCTGAAAACGTATTTGAATATTTTAATTGTTTAGCTTTACCTTTGGCACGACGACTAAAGCCTAGTAGTAGTACAAGACTACAACTAAGCCGTGAAGTGCATTTAGTCATTAGCTTCTTGGACATTTGCTAAACTGAAAACTACAACATCTTGAAGCTTATTTTTCCTTTTATTGTGGAATTTCTGTTACTGCAAGTAGTACTGTTTTTTCATTTTTATATGTAATCAACAAAAATGTATACTATAGACGAACGTAAAACATTACTGTCATTAGTAAAATTAGAACAATTGTTTGGTTAAATCATTAATATTAACAATACTAATAGTATAGACTATAGGCCTAGGTCACTACCTTACATTTTTTTATACTTTTAGTTTTAAAAGAAGGGGGTGTCAATTATACTGTTTCATCAAATTTCTCTTTTTAAAAATGGGAAAAAAAGTACAAAATATTTATGCATTCATGTTTCTGTGCTGGTTTGCACAATGAGTCTCACTAATGCCATCAGTATGAAAATGTTACCAACATTAGTTTAAAATTAAATCTTTAAATATATAGAAGCATATAGTATATTAGCATTGTATAATGGAAATTTTATCAATTACAATGTGACCATCATTCATCTTAGGCTTAATTTTTACACTTGTAACTTAAACCAAAGTAAATTATATTTTAATTTGATTCTGAGTAAAAAACATTATACATCAGAAACATATTAACATTGTCACTCATTAATAAAACTAAGGAACAAAAATTTAAGGTACATATAATTTACATACACTTTGATTGTTTTTAAATTTTCAAACATTTATGAAACTTTTAAAAATATTAACAGTGATAATATGGATTTTTCACAGCTTTGTGTATCTTCGTAATTTAAGCATAATGAGACAAATGTGCAAATAGATGGCATGTTGTCCCAAAATATTATATCATGTTATCTCAACTGAAATGAGATTCAATTAGTTGAAATTTAGAGGTGATTTCAAAGAACGGCATATAATAAAACACTGACGTTGGCCCTTGGAATTCCTGACGTATTTCAAGAACGTTTATTTTTGTTTACCACCAAGAAGCCTAACAAATAGAAAAGTTTACATAGAATGGATCTGTTCACTGGTCATTCAGAAACTTCATATTTAAATTCAATGTTTTGTATTCAAAAAATTTTCTAACAGAGCATTCAACAGTTTATTAATGCATATGTCTCATCCTCATTATGAATGGATATTACAATGGTAGTAGTCATTCTGTATTAGAACAAACTTATGAATTTGAAAAGTTCCATTTAGCTTGGGCTTGGTAATAATAGTGATTGTTCATATAGTGAGGGACTGCCAACAACGAGCTAAGTGGTCTTCCACTACCTTGCTTGTCTGTATTGTTCAGGTATGGTTCTAAGCCTCATCATTAAAGTCTACTTCTGACCTTATTGGTGTCTTTACAAAAATCAGACTTTTTAATTTCTGTTGTGCATATTGATGTATAGAAGAAATTTTAATACCAGAAATAAACGACCGTAATATGCCAAATGCATGTTATAGATTCAATTAGAATTTATTATTTAAACCATTTGAAGCTTTGTACTATCAGCTATGGTGTGTATTTTAGGGGAACGCCCCTGAAGAAGCCGTAAAGCAAATGTTGAGTGTCTAATTAAAGATAAATAACAAATGTGGTGTTATAAGGTTGTTTATTTTTAGTATTAAAAATCAGACTTTCTTCTAACGTACAGCTTGTTCGGCTCTAGAGTGAAGGCCTAAGTCAAATCCTGATTTGTAAGCCTTTCAAGCAGTTTGAGTGTTTATGTCCAGCATCATAGTTAATGTCTTTTTTGGGTAAGGAATTATTCTAGAGTTTATCTTCTGAATATATTATTAAAATGAATTTTCAACAACACTATATTTTTAGTAATGTTAAGAAAGAATAATTTATATTTCTAAAATATTTTAAATTCCATCCTGTTTTTTTTTTTTTTTTCCACTGTAAAGAATATTAAGAAGAAATCTGAAAGATATTATAAAAGATCACACTGAATTCCTTTTCTTTATCTTTGGTCTCTGTACTCTTGCCAATCAATCTGTTAGTTTCTTTTAAGTTTTCATACCTCAAAGTAGCTTATATCTCTAACCTACCATTATATATCTCTCAATTGAATAATCAAAGAATGTGAACATGATACACGGGATATTTCTACTGCTATTTTAGCGGGAAAAAAAAATAGAGGTTCTTAAACAAATCTCTGTAGAACCTAATTGATTACCATTGCTAATCTGAAAGTTGACCTTTTTTACAGGGCTGGATATGATCTGGTTGTTATCATACCAGATTGAAAATTCAAAGGACCTTCTTTTGCTTCCTGTTGCCATAAAATCTTGCTCTCACTTTGGGCCTAAGGTTATATTATAAGAGCAGACAGCCTCAGTCTTCCAAAACTTCTGGGAGTCTCCTTTATCTTCATAATGCCCTCCTTTCTTCTGAAAATGATTAAAAGCCTCTCAGAGATATAAGGCTAAATATAATCTACTTTGAAAGCTTTGATGCGTTTGCAAACACAGTGTCAAATAGACCGATTTCAAGTGAGGTATGCAAACACAGATAGGTGCTAAACAAAAATGGTAGCTTGATTGAAATAAAGTAGTTAAAGTTGATTGGTCAGTCACCCGTACATCAAACCTATAAGACTACCATGATAGCAATGGTTTTGAAGGCTTGATATTGTTGATTCTAACAGATTGTCCCTCTGAAATCAATCTCATGAACTTGGGCTGTCTGTAAGTGTGATGTTTAAATCCCATTATGTGATTAGTAATAGGTGCTGTTGACTAGCTATCTTTTTTCTAGACTATCAGTTCAAAGTTAGGGAAAGACTATTGTAGATAGTACTTTTATCATTGAACAAACACTTTTTGTTTTTGATTTATTTGCCTTAAATTTTAGTTTTTGTGTTAAGCTTATGGATCAGTAACTCAAATATGTACTTCTTCTCAATTGTTAGAACTCAAGATTGTTTTTTAATCTTTACAGATTGGTAATATTTGTCCTCAAAATGTAATATACTGATGTTAAAGACAAATACATGTTTATGAACTATATTTCAGTATTGTCAAGTAAGTGGTTAAACTTTTATTTTTGAGCTGAACGTATGATTGTATGTATAATACATTGAAAAAATAATTTATAAGCAAAATTTTATTGTGAAAGTGCTCATGGTATTTGTATTTAATGAATCAAAGGTTCTCTGTTTCTCTTGTAAAGTTATTGGTCCACCTTCCAACCTTAATTCATTTTAATGTTTGTACAAAATTAGTTGTATTGGAAGGATTTTTTTTTAAATTCAAGATGTAATTAATATATTTTTTTTTATTCTAGTGCTTTCTGGTTAATTTTTTTGATGTTTCATAATTTATTTTTAGTTACCATTTTTGCTGTTATTTGTATTTACAGCTTAAATCCCGACTTGAACGTATTGAGAGACGAATGTCTCTTTGGAAACAAAAGAAAGGAGAAAACACAGATACAGAATCTGTTGAAGGAATCAGTGTGACATCTAAAACATCAGACTGTTTGCCTAATTCATCACCGGTATCATCTTCCTTGAATGAAAATACAAAAGGGACTTGTGGAAGAGATCAAACCAAAACTTATTCTAAAAGAGGAAGAAAGAGGTAATATTTGTATGCCAGAAAATGTTCATAATATTTCTTATTTAACTTTAGGTTTCTATAACACATACTTATTGTATAAGATTTTATAAGAAGTGAGATAAACAATTAATGTGTGACAGTTTGGGAGACTAAGTCTCACAGAAAGTATATACACTACATTTATATTTCAGTAAATGTCATATCCATCATGTTAGCTTAAGCATTTTCATTAATTACTTATGGTACTCTATGTGTTCAATCATATTTGATTTATGGAAAATATACATGAAGAACAAGCTTCATAGGCCTATACTGTAAAATCTCCTCAAGCTTCATAGGCCTAGACCGTAAAATCTCCTCAAGCTTCATAGGCCTGTACCGTAAAATCTCCTCAAGCTTCATAGGCCTGTACCGTAAAATCTCCTCAGGCTTCATAGGCCTATACTGTAAAATCTCCTCAGGCTTCATAAGCCTATACTGTAAAATCTCCTCAGGCTTCATAGACCTATACTGTAAAATCTCCTCAAGCTTCATAGGCCTATACCGTAAAATCTCCTCAGGCTTCATAGGCCTATACTGTAAAATCTCCTCAGGCTTCATAGGCCTATACTGTAAAATCTCATCAAGCTTCATAGGCCTATACTGTAAAATCTCATGAAGCTTCTTAGGCCTATACTGTAAAATCTCCTCAGGCTTCATAGGCCTATACTGTAAAATCTCATGAAGCTTCATAGGCCTATACTGTAAAATCTCATCAAGCTTCATAGGCCTATACCGTAAAATCTCCTCAAGCTTCATAGGCCTATACTGTAAAATCTCCTCAGGCTTCATAGGCCTATACTGTAAAATCTCCTCAGGCTTCATAGGCCTATACTGTAAAATCTCATCAAGCTTCTTAGGCCTATACTGTCAAAGCTCCTCAAGTGTACATATTAAAGTGGTTGTTTAATCATGTGCATGGTGGTGAATTACTCTTCTGGAATTGTGTTTTCGTAGGAGATTGACAAACAATGTTTTATAAGTGGCTTACTTTAGGGGAACATACTACACGTTCAGCAGAACAGTGGTCTCTTTCGTAGAAGAAGAAAACTGACCAATGTTCTGTTGAAACATGTAGTATGTTCCCCAAAAGTATACCATTTCATTATGCTTATAAATGTTATTTTGTCAATTTACAATTATATTAGCATAATGTGCTTCCATACACAAGTATTGTGTTTTCATGTTGATAAAATTATATCATGATTTGTTCTGTACTTACGGCAATATCAACTTCCAGGGCCTATAGTATGGCTCGATATTTTCTTTCATTTTTTTCATGATGAGAACCTCCCATGGTTTAGAGCTTCCATACAGTTACATTCTTTACATTCCCCTAATGTCACTCCTGCAGATATGTAGAACAATTTAAACTTGTGACATCCACAATGTTATACTTTAAAAAAAACTGTGTGTAAAATATACATGTAGTAGTTCATGATAGTGCTTTATTGAGACAAACAAAATCAAAATGTTGTTAATTAGGCTAGTGTCAGTTAGGTTAGGATGTCCATATGATGTAATTAAGTTTTGTTGAGGCGTTTCATCTCTGCATGTGACTTCAAATGTTCGGTTCATCCTTCTCATTTCCATATTCAATAATATTCTTGCAATAATGTTAGAAAAAACAACTGTTACTCTCCAGATAATAATTATATTACCTCTTATATAGCCCCACCGCAGCTTCGTTAAGGCTAGTAGTACAAGAACTCTATGTTGAATTTGGTCAAATGATGGGAATATTTTGTTGCTTTTCAGAATTTGTAGTGTATACTGGAGATAGTAATGCTAAAAATTTATTTCAGCCGATGCTTCATCATTGTGGCGTCATCATGACTAGTAGAATAATAATAGATAAATAAACTGGAAGTCAAGAGAAAGTCGTTTTCTCTCTTCTTAAGTACGTGTGTGTATCTACTTTTCAAACTGAATTAACATCGAATAACACAACATACTGTTTCTTTAGAATTCTGTATACACATGCTATCAGAATTTACTAGCAAAGCCTCAATACATCTTACTTTTTGTTGTTTTTCTTTTCATGTTGAATGTCACAAATCTTTTTTTTTCTCCCAGGAAATATCCAATACAACCACAAGCAAACTCAACTAAGAAGGTAACTTCTTCCCAGTCTTCTTTGATGAAAGACATAAATTTAAATCAAGAAACTAAAGCATCATCTACATCAGAAAATTCATCTGGGATCTCAGTGACAGTCTCTTCACCTAGTTCATCGTCATTCCATAAGAAATCTTTACCGTCCAGTGTGAGCATAAAGATACAAGGAAGAGTGTACAGTAATCGCTCCAACAAAAGAGAAAGCATTCTGAGAACTAGTGACCTGTATTACCTTCCAGTTGGAGAAACTTTACCAAAAACAACATCACAAACCTCTGTTAGCCAACAGGAAATTAATGGTTAGGAACACTGATATCTATTGTTGAAAAAAATATTGTAACACATCAACTAACTACCTTTAATCTGGAATGTCTTTGAATTTCTATAAGTGAGATAACCTTAGTTCTTTGATATTAATTTTTTTTGTTTCTTATATTATAACAGATAAAAATAGTCATCAAATGTAAAATATAATAGCTAAATATATATAACACAAATATATTTTGCATTTTAATATTATATTTTTGTTTTCATATTTTTTTAGTTCCAAAGTGGAAGTACCACCCGCTGCCAAGTGCTTATCAAATGGAAGGAACAGAGGTAGCCACAGCTAAAATGTAGAGGGTTCTTTTTCCAAAAAAAATTTAGATCTTTTTTTTTTCTACACAAAAAAAAATAAAATTATGTGATTTACTTTAGCCCAAGTGAAACTTGTACAACAAAAGTATTCAAAACTTAAAAGTCAAGTGTTTATTAACAAAAAAGTCGGAAGATAGTAAACTTTTTCGACATTTTGGATTGTGGGGTGGGCATTTAACACCCCCCCCAGCTATGCCTTCAACATTCCTGATATATCTTTGTGAATATTGTTTTAATCCTATCAAGATGTAACTTTCTCACTGGATACTATCAATAATTTTCTTTTATGATTGGTAAGAAATTGTT